CCACTGAAGGTTGTGTGACGATTTCCGTTGTCAAGAATCCTTGAGTTTTGACACTGACGCAAAAACACAACGTCTCCAATCTCTAACAGTAATGTGACACCATTAGTGCCTTTAACACCACCACTGGACTGATGTTCATATGCCATAAAAATATGGGCTCCATTCTTGGTCAACACAGCACATGTAGCATGTGAAGCATGTCCAGGTCCATAGATATAGAACTCAAAGTGGTAGGCTCCTCTGACTGGAGCTGTGAAAAAACCTGAAATGCATAATAATAATAATAATAATCATAATCATAGTAATTATAATAATAATCATCATCATCATCATCATCATCACATAAACTGAGGTACCTGTGTTTGGGTTGTAGGCATTTCCGATGTTTGAAACAACATATCTGAAGACCAGAGTTGTGTGTGTGTTAAATGGACCAATAATTTCATAGCCAGAGCCCAACAAGGAAGCTGAGAAAGCCACTCGCTTCACTGTCAGACAGAAAGTAAGCAAAACACAATAATTTAAAATTTGGCCAGATTTTAAACAATAGCAATACATGTTGTTTTAGATAAATGTTGTATTTTGTGTTAACATGGGGAGTTTATTTCTAAATTCACAAACCTTCTCCTTCTCTCCTCAGAGCCTCCACCTGGTTTTCAGTTCTGTTTGCCCTGGTTTGAACTCTGAGCAGTTCCTCTGCATGAGCTGAAATCAGATGAACCTGATCATTGGCAATTAATTTGTTATTATTAGTAGTAATTATTATTTGTTAGGAAAAAAAAACAGATATTCATTTTACATTGGTCTTTAGGTGGTTGTGAGTAGGGCTATTGTAAAAGCTATTACTATCAAAATGCAACAAGCAAACAAGATGATGTCATAAATGAAATATAATCAATACTTAAATACCTTGGTAGTGTTGTGTCAGATTGTCCAACTCTTTATTTTTTTCTGAAAAAGAAAATATGTTTATTTCATGATGCCACAATTCATATTTTAAGCATGATGAGGTAGTACCTCATGTTTAAAAGTTCAATAGATACACTTCTACTTTTGTACTTGCAATTGTATCTATGTTCAATTTTGAATAACCATCAGTTAAAATAAAAAACTGGAGAGGATTGATGCTTATTTTGAACAAGATGGATTTTACCTCTGATGTCTAATGTCTAACTTTTACTCATAAATACTTTTGTGATAAATACCTTGGTACTGTTGTTTCAACTTTTCCACCTCAGTCTTTTGCAGTTCCATTTCGCTCACCTTAGCTGTTATGACAATACACCAGAATTATGAACAATATAATTGTTTCCGTGCAAACACTTAAGTTATTTAAGGTTTATCTTTGATTTGTTTTTATTTTATTATTATTGGCATACCTTGGTGTTGTTCTTTCAGCTTGTCCAATTCTTCCTTCTGCACCTCCAGTTCTTCCGTCTTAGCTGAGTGTGGATCAAAGAAAATATATAATTTGACAAAAAAAATGTAAACAACTGTCTTTGCAATGAATATTTACATCCAAATATTTCTGTTGCTACATTTCTCCATTACATCTTATTTTTGGACAATCAATCAATTAAGATTAGTTGTATTGCGCATTTCGGCAGCAAGGCAGTTCAAACTGCTTTATATCATAAAAACACAACAATCAATCGAAGCATTACATTTTTCTAAGTGCTATCATTACACATCAAACATCGTTAGATGTTTCATTTATTATGGTACCAAAGCAACTCTAAACAGATGGTTTTTAGTCTAGATGTAAAGAAACTCTGTGTTCTGGCTGTTTTACAAGGAATACTGATCTTCTTTATTTTTGCTTCCTAGTCACTGACATTTAAATAAATATAATTATGAAGAATGAGACTCTTGGCAATTGTAGATTAAAAATGCCTTATGATATCATAATATGAGGCTCAATAAGGATTTTTAACCTTCTCCTTCTCTTCTCAGAGTCTCCACTTGATCTTCAGTGATGTTTGCCAGGGCTTTAACACTGCTCAGCTCTCCTGCCTGAGCTGGAAATACAATAACAAAAGAACAAACATCTTACCATCACTATTATGCAAACAAACAAAAACATTTATTTTAATTATACATCCCTGCAGTTGACCCTCTAGAAGTTAAAATAGAGTTATTAAGCTTGGCAACATTGCTCTTGTTCTTTAAACTTATTTCCATGGACAGTAGATAAATAAATAAATACCTTGGTACTGTTGCTTCAGTTTGT